TGTTTCCACTACAAAGGAAAATGCAGATATTAGCTTGGCCCATGCTTGATAATAACTGTCAATTCTACACGAGTAATGCTATGTTTGTGTGTCATCTGAATCACCATCTTCAACTACTACAGAAAAATACACAAGAAAATGATTTTATTATTGATAAACCTAACAAACAAGATGAAGAAAGCATTTAGTCTACCTGAATATCAGTATGTAGCTCCTTTTACTCATTGTGTAGGAAGGTATTTACTGAAAAATCAACTTACTTTAATTAAAAGTACAAATAAAATCAGGTAGTATCCAGAAAGGAGCTAAATTATCAAGAACTGATTCAAACAGATAGGCTTGAGAAATAAGGCTAATATTCAAATTAAGAACTGTATTATGGCTGTATTATGGTTTTAAGTGCTGGAAATGTGCGCTACCACTGAACAGCCACAGAGCAACTCTCAACAATGAATTTAACTTCATTATAACTTTTGTATTTTAACCACTAGAGAAAGTAGTTTTATTACACTCCTTCTACACTCATACCTAAATAATGCTTAAACCATACTGTGAAGTAAAGGTGACATATTTTCAAACAGAAACACCTGAGTTCAGGGTGTAATTATCTGTTGAGGATAAAAAATACAATGCTTTGGGGAAGAGAAATTCTCGTAGCCAAACAATAGTCTATATTGTGAAATATTTTTGACTGAAACGTAAAATTATTCTTCAAACAATATTGAAATTGTAAAAAAGAACTAATAGTGGGAGGTGCCAGAATTTATTTACTCTAGTATTTCAACTAGTGCTTTAAAGAATAGTTAATTACCAAAAAGAAACCTATTTGACAAAAATACAGAGAAAATGGTAAAACAGAGAACACAACCAGTAACCCAATCCCCTCTCACAACTGTACAGAGAGTACCATGAGACACCTGAAGAAACAACCACCAAGAAACAATTATAATCAAGAAACTAAAATACTAAGCTCAAAAAGGAGGAAAACTTCAAAATAAAATTGAGTGTTCTGAACTATCATAAAGTAACTGTGAACTTCTGGAAATCTAAAGTAACAGTTTAAGAAATTCACTAACAGACTTCAAGAAAAATTAAATGAAATGCCCAAAGTAAGTTTCTTTCCTAGAAAGATACAGCAAATAAAAAAATTCTTACGTATCAGATTAATTTAGAAGCTCTAGGAAATAAAGAGGATGCACGAGAAAAATTAACCAGAGACATAAAAAATGCTGTAGAGAAGAAAACAGACCTAAACTTTCATATTCAAATCGTTCACTAAAACCTTCAACACAATGAGCAAAAATTAGTGACTGTAATTCATCCTCCTTTAATTTCATCAGCAAGTTTCAGAGAACAAAATGGGTTTCCTACAAAGAAGTAATTCCTGAGCACCAAAACTCTCCTAAGTAATACTGGCTACTAAAAGCAAAGGAATGCAACCTTTTGAATGAAAGCAACTTAAATGTAAATTATATACCCAGCCAAGAAATATAACAGACAAAAAAAGTTTATAAATGACAGATTTTAATATTACGCTGACAAGTAAGCATACTCATTCCTCCTGAAAACATGTATCAGCTCAAAAGACATTCGAGGAAACTTGAAAATGAGTCCAAAACAAAAGAATAAAACTGGGGCTGGAGAGATATCTCAGCAGTTAAGAGCACTGGCTGCTATTCCAGAGGACCCAGGTTCAATCCCAAGCACCCACAGCTCACAACTGTCTGTAACTCCAGTTCCAGGGGATCTGACACCCTCTTTCAGACACCCATGCAGGCAAAACAACACATGTAAAAATAATAAAAATAAATTAAAAAAAAAAAAGAAGCATTGACATGAGACCCAAAAAAGCATGGAACTTGATAAAGAATTACATTACATGGTGTTAGGGGGCATGATATCCAAAAAGAAGTGCATTAGTACTTCAAAATTATGAATAAAAAGCTAAACAATCAAAGAAATGAAGCATATGTTCTTCAACTGACAGGGGAAACATGGCCACCAGAATGTTCAGGGAAAGCCAGGCATTGTGGCCAATTATGGAATTAGAGGCATATAATTCCAAACTTAGGAAACTGAGGCAGAGGAAACACAAGTTGAAGATCAGCCTAAGATATGCAGTCAGATCCTGTCTCAAAAGTCAAAATGGGAAAGAAAAAGAAAGAAAGGAAGTTCAATAAAAACATTCATGATGCAAACTATTGAAAACTAAGAAAGCACAAAAAAATTCCTTTTATCTTTAGAGTATGATCATTTCACCAGCATTAAGTAATCATGTTACTCAGTGCTTTTCATAATTACCAAGCTTAACTACTATAAACCTTGACAATATACAATAAATATTATAGATGGCACAATCCATGAAGGGAATATTAAGAATTCAAGACACAGTTTACAAAAAGCAAATTTAGGAATAATGTTCTCAAAGGTGATGATCCAACATCAAAGTTTTAGCCATAAAGCCAACAACAAATAAAAGAAAAGGTGAACTGGTCTTCAAAATTAATTTTTCATTTTCATAAGAGAGACACTAGATTATGTAAAAAAAAAAAAAAAACAGCTATCCAAAAATAAAGTATTGTGCATAGCATGCACAATTTAGGATACAATTCAACAGAAGAATTAAAAATAAAGTCTACAGTGACTGTCTCTAAAGAGATGAACCAGCTGAAAAGGTAAAGCCCATCAGGATTTTTACATTTCATTTTATACCTTTGAGTACTACTCACACTATGTTCAACGGCTATTCTCAACAAACATGAACATGGATACAGACATGTTGCATGTGCACGTGCATGTGCATACACACACACACACACACACACACACACACACACACGCACACACACCTTCTCTGACCACTGCAAGAACAACAGAATTTCTTATGTACCATTTCATTGTTTTCTGTTATGTATTTTATGGACTAAATACTAACCTTTGATGATGGTTATTTCAGAAAAAAAAAAAAATGCAACTAATTAAACAGACTCAAGAACCACTGTAAGGCCTTAGACAAACATGATTATGATTATATAGATATCCAGATTCATTAGTTCACTTGAGTCTTTAACAATCTTACAAAAGCAGATTAGGAACTAATAAAGAAAATTTTTAAAAGTTTAAGTGACTTGCCATCTCCTCTCCAATAAATTAAAATAAACAAGAGAACAGAAGTAATATAAACTAGTTAAGAAAGAAAAAAACAAAGCACTGAAATCTAAAAATGCTTTGCAAATATGTGAGAATAAAGTAAAAGAAAAATTTAACAACACAAAAGGTCAGTCATGTTAGAAAACAATTGACAGTTTAAACAGGCACTTACCATATAACCTGCAATCATATCCTAGTGTATTACCCGAGACAAATGGAAACACATCATAAGAAGGTATGTATTCAATGTTCATGTAAACTTTAGTCATACTATTCAGAGACAGCCCAAATTTCTACCATGTATTAAAAAGACAAAGCCAGGAATGGTAGGACATGCCTATAATCCCAGTACTCAAACCTAGGTAGAAGGATCATCAAGTTGAATGACTACCTGAGCTACAAATTAAGTCTGACTGCAACCATGGATATAAAGCGAGATTCTGTTTCAAAAAGAAAATTAATCACAAATAAACTAATAAATGAAGAATTTTATTTCCAGACATCAAATTCTACTTCTCATATAAATCACATGGATACACCACAAAAATGTATATAGAAAAAAGTGATACACAAAAGACTATGGATGTCATGAGTCCATGAATCGAGATCTTAGAAAAGCTAATTATAGTAACCGACAGCACATCACATGACTGCCAAGCTGAAAAAGAAGCACTGAACTAAAAAAGAGATAGAAAGAAACTTTTTAGTGTGATGGAAAGGTCCTGTGTCAGGACTGCAGTGTCTGTCACATCACTGTAAATGTTAGGTACAACTCATTAAAATGTTATTTGAAATTATTTACTGTATGTAAATTATAACTTGGTAAGAATTATTTTAAAATTCTATAATGCATAATTACAACTGACAACAGTGTTTTAGTATAGGCATTAGCCAAAGATTTTCGAAGAATACAAAAATCAGTGTTTAGGAGGTAACTTTCAACTAGAGAATAAATATATAGGACTCAAGGCTGGAGAGATGGCTCAGGTGTTTCGAGCACTGGCTGCTCTTCCAGAGGACCCGGATTCAATTCCCAGCACCTACATGGGAACTCACAAGTGTCTGTAACTACAGTTCCAGGAGATCCGACTCCCAGACACATACACATGTAAATAAAACACCAGTGCACATAAAATTATTTAAAAATATATATAAGACTCAAAAGCATACCTCATTCTACTCAATTTGGCCATGGGGTATCCAGGAATAATGGCTGAGCAACTTGCCTAAAGTCTAGACCTCTAATGATGTAAGGAAGTGATCACTCAGATTATAACCTAAGTTTACAGCAGTTACTTAATAATAAAAAATAATGCATTTATCTAAAGAATGGACAAGAAATATACAGGAAATGTAGATTGATCAAATTAAACACACAAAGAAAAATCACTGCCACATTTGGACTTTTATGTAAGAGCTTTCACTTACCTGACATTATGGACCTGTTTAGTCAAACAGTTTGAATGTAAGCCCAAACCCTTACTTCACTAAGCCTTTCTGCTACCATACAATCGACACAATGCAGTATTTTTATCTAAACTTTTATACATCATTATATATATATAGACAGAAGAGTCCTTTTCTATGTTAAATAACTGTGTAGTCTAAGGAATCTGAAGACATACTAACCTACATGCCTGCAAAATTACAAATTGTAAGAATCAAGAATGAGAAGGAAATCCCTAAATAAGCAAATCCCTAACATACGTGTTGAGCATTATTTCTGTCACATTAGACAGCACATCAGGTTCACTTTAGCAACGCCAGGAGAAAGACCCATTCTCAGCACACCACTCACTGTTTAGCACTTTCGCCAACCAGTTTTCAGTTTTGCTAAGCATGTAACTTACCCCTCTTCTGAACCCAACCTTCCTTCACAATGGTAACATCGCTCATGTTGGCTCCCCTCTGAGCCCCCAACTTGGAGAAATGGTGCTTTGCGAGATCAGTTTTAGGCTTTGGGTTCTTTGCTGCTGCTGCTGCTGCTGCTGCTGCCCTTCCCACTCTCTAGCGATGACTCAGCCTGGAAGGAAGTATTGAAGAAAGAATTTCTTTTTTTTTCCATTCTTGAACTCACATTGCAATAACAAACAACTAAGTCTTTGTAAAGTCTTCAATTGGCCTAACTGCACATAAAGTCTAGCTCTTCAAACATGGGGTGGAGGCTTATATATTAAATAGTTTTATGAGTACATTGCTCTGGCCTTGTGACAAATGTTACATGAAACATTTAACCTAAGAGACTTAAAAATGTGATAACCAAATCGTCCTATCTACACAAATAAACAGAAAGCATGCTTTGTACTGTATCCCTAAGATAAAGGGAAAAGAATGAAAGCTAAGTGGCCCAAACTCCCAAACCCCTTTAATTTCACAAAGTTATGTCAAAGTATTTGTAAGTATTTTTTAATTGCTGTACTTTATGTAAAATACAATGTGCCAAGAAACCAACATTTATATTCTGCCCTGTTATAAAAAAAAAAAATGTTCAGTAGATTACATAAGTACTCAGCATTAAGTCATTTATTGTTTTATGTAGATAAAGAAAGTGAAACAAGAGGAATATGAAAGTAGAAAAAAACACACCAAAACTGCTCACCTATCATCTGATATTCATCACAACTCTGTTAGGCCAGTCTTAACTTCATTTCACAGAACTGAAAAACTGTGGCTCACAGAGAATAAGTAACTTGCTAGATTTCAAGGTATTAAGTTGTAAAGCCAATATCTGAATTCAAAGTGCCTGACTCCGAAGTCTGCACTTTTCATTTCAAAACTCTACAAGTGATAGGTGATTCAAGAACTTGAAAGGAAATGTTTTAGAAAAATAGCAAATTCAAAAACATGACAGGTTTCAGTATTAACTGTGTCTGTAACATAAAAAGGAAGAGATCTGCTCAGAATAAATACAGTGTTTCCTAAGCCAAACTAAGAATTTATCCCCTGGGTCTTTTATGATAATTTAGAGTAACAAGGCTTCAGCAAGCATCCCTGCATATACAGCAATAAGCTTAATGAACTGTACTTTATTTACTATTGTCCCTACCTATCTAAAAGGGGAAATGATGCCACAAAACTTTGTGAAAGCACAGCCACATTTCCAAAATATGGACCAGATACACTAGTGTTAAGTGACCTAGGACACACAGCATAAACTTTAACCAGACAAAAAAAAAGGGGGGGGGGGGGAGTTACACAGACTAACTGTATTATTCAATGAAGTTGGATCTTCGAATTCCCAGCTAGTGCTGAACGCGATTACAAGACATGTTCCAACACAATTTCTGTGCAAAGCCTAAACACTTAGCAATGATCTAAACTAAACATTCTCTAAACAGTATGACAAAGGCTACATGGCTTAGGAGAAGACCACCCAGTCATGGGCTGTGCAAATATCTCGTATGCAATACATAAAGGCAGGGGCAGGACTACTCAAATCACAGCCATGGGGACCTGTTGCTTCAGAATAAAGAGGAAAACTGAAATCTGGATCTTTCACAAAATTATGCCTGTTCAATAGAGTATAAAACTCTTTAAAAGAAATTTGAGAAAATAAGTCCTTTGTTCAAATAAGTTTTAGAAAATTTTTAATTTTGTCCTCCTGTAACATCTCTACTAACAGTAAATATCCTAAAATTAAAAAAACAAAAAAACCATTTATCACCAATTCCCACACTGAATACTGCCAGAGGAAGCAGTCACATTATTTAAAATAATACACTCCATATTAAAAACAGAACGGGCAAAAATAAAAGCCCTAAAAGAATCATTTTATTTTGATTTACATCATATCCTGAAAAACCCAACTGACTTCATATGATAAAACTATATAACTCCATATATTACACGAGGAATTAGAAATTAAATACTTTCAAAGACTAGTGCAAAATGGTATCATCATAGCTGTACTGAGCTCTTCTTGTTGGTACAACTTACACCGATGGGTTTCATCTCTAGTAAGATTCTTTGTTTTTCTCACTATAAAACTATGTAAGCTGAAGAAAAGAGAATTTTATCATTCTTGGGAATAAAAGTAAAATAAATATTAGGGTAATAGCAAAAGGAATATAAGAGGTACTTCCAATTAAAGTAAATTTTACTGCCACATCCTTATGAAGAATACTGAGAATAAAAATCTTCTTGAAATTGAACTAGATCAATGCAAATCAATTAATCTTATTTTATACTGGGCCTCTTTCTGAAAACTAGATTATTGGTGGATAGAGAGAGAGAATGTGTATAACTGATGTTTACATATTTAGACTTAATTTTTTAAATGTGCATTAAATTAAACAACAAAATTTACAAACTTTATCAGGGCCACTGAACCTAACTTATTAGAGGCAGTCTTACTCCACTGTATCTTAAAAAGTTACCAAATTCTATCCCTAACCACAATTTTCAGCTTTAAAAACTATTCCTGTTTCTAATAGCTAAAATGGTACCATCCCTGAACAAAAGTCTAAAAGTGCAATTATCAGATTAGCAGTAAATGCTGTCTTTTCCATGTGAAAGCAATGCTATTGGTTCCTGAGCAGTAGGCATATTCTGACTTGACTTCCTCAGTGGCAATGCTCTTGCTCCAGTCATCCATGTTCTCCCAGCCAGTCTCCCACATTTACATAAGTATTAGTTCTTAAGATGAACTCAAGTTTGTCACCTATTTCTTATGGCAAAGCAAACTTCACCCTCTTTCCATAGTAACTTCCGTAGAAATATGTTCTTTCCAGTGAGATAACATAAAATCTGGTTGTAAATAAATATTAAATATTTTGGTGCTAGATAATCTAATTTGTATTATTCTTATGAAAAGTTACACACAAAATTCATAGTAGATTCAATAGTATAGATATTTTTATTCATGGCCTCTCTTAGAGAATTTTATAGTAATAACTTCATCTTTAATTCCATTGAATCACAACATAAATTATTAAAGCAATTAGCCTGTGGCTGGCACTTATTCAACAAATACAGAATTAGTAAGTAGATGAATGAATCAAGATGTAACAGCTTTAGATAATAAAGAATAAGCTAAGCAAACAAGTTTAGTGTCAACAGAATGGCATTATCCCATTTTTAAAACAAAACTAAGTTTGATCCTTACTGAGGTATTCCTATCTACATAAGTAAAATTTGTATATATTAAATCATGTTTCCTATGGCCTTCAACAATCTTCGGAAAAGGCTAGATTACATTAAAACTACCCTATTTTTCTTGACATTTTAAATCACTTTTTGTCAAGATCATCAATTTCCAACTCCAAATAAAAGAAACCTCAATGCTACCCAAAATTATTCATCATGAGAAGAAAAAGATAAGTATTCTCTTACTGATGTTTACTTCAGCAACCAATCATGCAATTTAAACCAATGATAAAATATCAAACATGTTTTAGGATATTAGCAAAAAAATATGAACAATACCTCTACTTGTCAATTAATACCTTCTGTCTACTCTGTGACAAGAACTAAAAAAGTATCTTAAGTCTTTTCCAAACCTATTATATATTTGTTATCCAAGATCTTTCAGTTGTATCACCTTATTTGACTCTTAATTGTGAACCTAAAAAAACTGTGGCCAAAGCAATGATAGTATTCCTCACAGTTCCCATATGTAGCAACAATCAATAAGAGCAACTACTTGTAATTAAGGTCTTCCATCACTTTCATCTGCTTTATATCAAATACGAACTCTCAAATGTAATTATCAAAATGTTTTGAAGTAAACCGAAAATAAATAAAACTAAAGTTATCAACAAAACTATCACAAATGAAATAACATAAAAGTAAAATTAACTTGAGAAGAACCCAGTAATTCTTTCATACAAGTAAATGCAAAGTTCCTATATTAATAACTTCCTATACATTAATTACCTCTTTTGGTGGGAGTCATCTCTAAGATCAGTAGGCCAGACTATCCTGAAACTATGTATCTATCCCAAAATGCCCTTACATTTGCCTCAATCCACCAAGTGCTGGGATTACAGACATGACCCACCAAACCTAGCTTCTTGTATGTTTATTTCTAAATTAAAATCCAAAACAGCTTTGTTTAAACTATAGACAGTCTTTGGCTGTAATGTTCTAAGCTACAATTTTACAGACTTTATTTATGGTATACAAACTGAGTTAAAGAAAACTAATTCAAACACAATTGATATTTTAAACATAAATGATGAGCATGAGGAACTACTTGAGGTTCTATAGTAATTTCAGATTTCAGTAACTATATTGTAAGAAAAACTAAACCAGGTAATCCCCACTACCCTGGAGGCTGAGGCAGGAGGATCACAAGTTTGAGGGTTATCTGGCCAGTATAGTAAGTTCATGGTTAATCTGAGCCCTTGGTGAGACCATGGCTCAAAATAAAAATAATGACAGGAAGGAGTTGTAAAGGGTGGTATAACATACAAGACCCTACTTTTAATCGCCCCAAAATACTGTAGATGAAATTAATTTATATGCCACGCCAAATGCACAAGGCTATAACAAACTTACAAAAGGACATAGGGGAAAACAAAGACACTGAAGTGAAGACAAAATTCAGGATAGTTTGTATCTCAAATACCTCTAAGGTAATCTGTTTCTATTAGGAGCTGTTAGTCTCCTAACAGTTCTTCTATTCGTAATACAGTAATAACACTTGTGTATTTTCTTCTAAAACATGGAATTTTTAGGCAAACTATCAGATCTTTCAAATTGCCAAAACTTAAAAACAACTTTATAAACTTTAAAATACATCTACAGAAACACAAAGCATTTTCTCCCTTCTCTCTTCTTATGTCACCAATGTTCAATCTCAATTACCATGTTCATTATGAAAAAGTGTTTACTAGGTCACGTATCTAATCTGATTTAAAACGCTGGGGAAATATTTATCCTCTGCTTCAAATAAACCAATGAACAAGCTATTGATGAAGCAGTCTCCTTCATTTCTAATGTAAAATATTACACATCTGTATATGAAGTCATCTGACAATAAGCTAAGGACTGCAGTCTACTGGCTCAGCTGGCCGTTTAATTCAAAGTACACATAAAATTACAAAATATGCCTCAGCTACCTTCCAAACTGTAAAATAAAAATCCTTACTACACACACATAAAACCTATCTATAGTCCACTACACACCAAGAATTACCAACAGATTTCCCCTCCCTCAGGATTAGAATCCCTAATAAAGTTCATACCAAATTTTCCTTTAGAAAGAGCACTAGACATACCAAAAAACTTGAATAACTGTTCAACTTTGCCTCACTTGGAGTGGTGCTGATATAATGTCTCTCTAACTCTCTATGCCTCAATTTCCTGAGCTGAGGAGAAAATGTAGCATTAGATGCTTGACGGTTCTTTCAGAGCTAACATTTAAGATTCTTTACATTCAATTTCATACAGAAGTGGTATTACAGATGACAATCATGATTATGTATAGCTCCTATTCTCAAATTTTAACGTATAGCTGATATAAAACAATAAGTAGCCATTCAACTTAAACCAAATTTGGGCTAAACTCCATTACTGGCTAAATTCTACCTTCCTTTACGCCAAATCCCCCAGACATCCAAATATAGTCAGAGGCTTTCTTAATACAGAAGAGACAAATTCTCATCTGAATATCTTTTGTTTTCTCCTAGTAAACGTTTTTTACTTCCCCTTCAGAATACAAGCAAAAATGCCCATTTAGAAATATGAATTACTTGAAGTTGGCAATAAATCTTTAAATAAAGTTAGTTTAAGAACAGCACATTTGTAAGTCAAGAAGCATATATTAATTTATTCACCAACTACTATTTGAAGATTTCCTTGCAGAAAAAAAAATTTACATCTCAACTAGATGAAAAAAACTACAATAAAAATTAAACAACTGACATATTTTGAAAGAATTAAATTAAATTTGAAGAGATGTTTGCAGTTTGATCAATATAGCTTTTTAAAATATATTACTTGATTCTGTGGAACTTAAGAGTATAGATTACAATATTATACATTATGTATTTGAAATTACAGTTTAGAATATGTATAATATGAATTCATATTATATGAATATAATATGAATAATATGTATGTACACATATTTTAAACTATAACGGGACTTTGGACTCTAAGAATGGGTACAAACATAAGAAGGTTTATATTAAAGGATTTTTATGCTACATAAAATGTTTTCTCACTTTCAAAACTGGAGTAAGATTATCCTGAAGATTAGATGAATTGCAATATAGAAAGTACATATAACAGTGTCTGGCACATGGCAAGTGGCTAGAATTAACTGGAAACTGAATCTAACCCTATCAGAGGTTAAAGACTATAAGACACCTCTGTTACTATCAGCCTACCTTTGCAAAGAGTATGCTGCATTAAAACAAGATTAAGAATCCAGATGCACATGCTGAAATCAAGAGCAGTGCAGCAACTTTTAAGTTACTCAGATATTTTAACACAAACCTTCTGTTAAAAAATATTTGCATTACTAAGTTACAGCAACTTGAAAACGCAAGTAAAATTACAAAAAGTAAACTAAATAAAGGTTTGTGGGGGGTTTTTTTTGTTTGTTTTTGTTTTTTGGTCTTGCATTTTACTGTACGAATCTAAAATTATTCCAAATTAGTTTGCTCTTCAATGCTATAATCACTATAAAGCTAGTATCTTACCAAATCATTATTCTGATGCAATTAACACATTAATAAGAATCACCTTATCACCCCAGGGACAGATTCTTGAACTAATGGGCATTACAAAGTAATCTCTTCATGAAAAGATGAAAGTTCAAATAAAAGCTAAATTTCTACAACAATGTATGAAACAATCTCCTTTTTAGAAAGAATCCTAAGTTTTTAGAAACTTCCATGTTAAAATCAAAACCTGGTATTTAAAACTCCTAACCCCTTACATGGTAAACCATGCTAACATTTGTCCCAGAAAGTTTAACCAAAGACTTATATATACAGTGATTCTGCAAAACAATCTTTAACGACTGTTATCTTCTGAAGTGCGAAAACATTAACTCTCCAAAGCACACGCATCTTCATATTTGTCCAGTAAATAGAATCTTACTTAAAACATCTCAGTTTTAAAAATTACATAAACAAGCCTGTAATGGTGGCAAACACCTGTGATCCCAGCACTCAGGAGGCTGGAGCAGGAGGATTCCTAGGAGGGCAGCCTAAGCTACAGAAAGAGAACTTCCATTCCAAAGTCATAATAAACACAATTTAAAAACTAAAAAGTCCAAGACGTTTTCAAGTATTCTTCCATATACATCGCAAAACTAACAATGTCAAGACTAAAGAAAAAATTAATTTTAAGTTGAAAATTATTCACTCATTACAGAAAACCTAACTGTAGGGGATAAGATGAATATGAATAACAATTTCATCATATTCTTGCAGTATTACTTTGGATTAAGTATTAACTTAAAAACTGTTAAGAAAAACGCTACTACAAATATACAGAACAAACGCAAATAAAACCCTACCTACATTCATCCAAAGTTGTTACATTCAAATGACATATGTTCTCTCCCACTTTAAAATTGGAACTTTAAGCTATAGATACTGGGGTCATCTCTGGTTTTTAAAAACTTATCTTTAAACAGAATCGAGATTTCATAGTGGCAAAAGAAACACAATTCATTCTTGCACTGCATTTGTAATTTAACCGGGTATCTGGTACATTCTGGAAAACTAGTAAGTTATAAAGATACTCTTTTTTAAAAAACACGTTTCATACAACCATCTTCTGCACTATTCAGACCCATCTTTATTCCCTTAAACCATCTTTACTGGACTCTTCCACCTTTTCTTCAATGAATGTATAACTTAATATAATGAATGAGTTCCTACCATAAACAAAATGCAGTGGCTGTCTTGAAATTTATAGTTCTACTGAAAAAAATGACTGTGCTTTACCAAATACGGAACACATGTCTAAACTAATGATTTAAGACAACTGTCAATTTATTACATTTGTATTCCTTGTTCTATATCCCTTTCAGAATGCCCTAAGTGTGATGATTCTATTAATAACAGAAATTAATCAATACAAATACATGGGTTTTATTGCTGAATTTCTATTTGTAAACTTTATCAACTACAATCCATCAAGGCTTTCAACCAAAACATACCACTCTGGTGAAATGAATTTTGTTTTCATAACACTGTTTTCACGGAGACATGAAAGAATCCAAGCTTTAACTTATGGGTAAAGCATTTCTTCTGCTTTCTAAACAGTAAATACTAATACTGTAAAAAACTGGCCCTAAAGAGATTAAGTTATCTCTAACCCAAGTGTGGATTCCCAGGAAATCCCAAACAAGGGGCGACCCCGCCTCAGCACCAGGACTATCATTGCCACCAGCTGAAGCTGCGGGCTTCCAAGGGGGCCTCACCAGCATCATGGCTGATGCAGACCGATGCGCAGGAGGCGGAGGAGGTGGACAAGGAAGAAGCTGGTTTGTTTACTTGCAGCCTGAGCCGCCGTCGCCGCCGCCGCCGCCAGCAGCGACAGCATCAGTGGATCAGCCAAACCCAGCATCTTCCGCACATTTCTATTCTTAGCACACAACTCCCTAGCGGATCAAAACCCCACTACTATTAAAACACAGACTTGCTCGTTACCCACCTCGCACGCGCACACCCGCACCCCATCAGCACCGTCCTCCCCCGGGCGCCGGCGGGGTGCGGTGAGGTGGGGTGGGTGGCTGGCGGTGGAAGGAGACCCCGGAGACGCCGGTGCATCCTCGCCCGCACTCCCGCCACATGCGCAGACGGCCCCTCCCCCCCCAAACCCAAACACCAAGTCGCCACCGGCCGCTCGCGTTACATAACCGCGCCGCCGCCCCCCGGCCCGGCCCGGCCCGGCGCGGCCCGCCGCCCCCTCCCCACGCCGCGCGGCCCTGCGAGGAAGGGCGAAGGGACCGGGCTCGAGCCCAGCGGAGCCCCGAGGCGCCGGGCCGGGCCACCCAGACACGCAGCACACCGTACCGCTAGGCCGGGGACACCCCCCTCCCCGGCCGCCCGCGCCCCGCCACTGCTCCCCCGCCCCCCCCCAAGCGACGGGGGTGCCGGTGTCACCCACGCGGGGCGTCCCCCGGCCTTCACCTCCACACCCACGGCCCCGAAGCCTCAGGAGGGAGGAGGGGGGACCCGGGCCCACGCCCCCGGCGGCCGCGCTGACACCCCGACGCCCCCGCCTCACCCACCCGCGTCGCCGCCGCCGCCCCCGCCCGAGGGAGGCGGGGAGGGAGCCGCGGGGCCCCCGGAGAGCGCGGGCGAGGCGGGGAGGGGGCCGAGCGCTGGGGGCGGCGGCTGTTACCTGCAAAGGCGGCGGCGGCGGCGGCGGCCCCGCAGCTGCTCGGGCGGTGGCGGAGGATGGCGAGGGGGGGCGGGGGGAGGAGAGGGGGCGACTCGGGGGTCCCCCTCCCTCCTCCTCCCCTCCTGTCCTCCCCCCCACCCCGCTGAGCCTCTGGCCCCCTGGAACCCGGTGCCGCCGGCGGGAGGGGAGACGAAGGGCTGCAGGGGAGGGAGGGAGGGAGGGAGCCGGGCGGGCGGGCGGGCCGCGGCGCTGGAGCGGGCGGCGGCGGCGGCGGGAGGAGGGAGGAGGAGGAGGAGGGCGGGCGGCGGCGGCGCTGGGAGGACGAGGAGGCGGAGACTCTACTTGGGAATCGGATCCTCGGCTACAAATTCAATTCATCACCAGAAAACGCCGCTCGGGCGGGGGGCCGGGTCGGGGCGGCCGGCCGCGGGGCGGAGGCCGGGAGCCGAGCGAGCGCGGCCGGGGGGACCCCGGACTGCGGCCTCCCTCGCCTCGGGGGCCCGGCGGCCGCCTCCCCGCCCCCTCCTTCCTCCCTCCGGGGGCCGCCGCGGCCGCGGGGCTTGTTGTTGACTTTGAGGAAAACTCCTGACGTCAGGGGCTCGGCTCTCGGCGACGGGCGGGAGCGGCTTCCCCGCGCCCCGGCCCCGCTCGCCGCCTCGGCTCCGCGCCCCGCGCCGGGCGCTCGCCCCCAGGCCGCCCCGCGCCCCTCAGACCCGCGCCGACCCGCGCCCCTCCGCTTCCTCTCGCGAGAACAGCTCCCCGGCAGCCCGCGCCGCGGGGCCCGGCGTTCCCGCCGGGAAGTTGTGGGTTTTCCCCGGGCCGCGTGGCCCTGGACGGGGCGCACGGACCCCCAGCGCGCCCGGGACGCCGCCGGGCTGCGGGTCCGGGGCCTGGAAACTCGCTCTCACCTGCACCTGGCCGAGGCGGGCTCGGGGTCGGGGCCCACCGGGTAGCTCACCATCCCGGGAGACCGTGCCGTCCAGTCCCAGCGCCGGTCACCACACGTGGGCTCGAGGATGCGCTGGCATCCGAGTCCCTCAGAATCACCTCCTGGTGAGGGATGTTGGGGTCATTGACTTTGGGGCAATGAGAAGACGCTGCTTTTGAAGTTCGTGGCTCAGGGAGTAAGTACGGTGGAGGCTGGTTTTTAGAAAATGACCGCATTCTGCCGCCTATCACACTTCAGGAAGTCACAAGTTTACTTTTTCTGAGACTAGCTCAAGGCTCCTGGAAACACCTGGAGAACCGTTATTAATCCTAGTGGCTCTACTCTTTGGGAAGAACCCGTTGTTTTTTCCCACTGCAAGAATCCGCTTAGTACCTTGGGCTTCTTGTTGCATTTCTTCCGTCCCGTGTCTCTTCCTCTTCTCCAGCTCTATTGTTTGCACTGTATCCCCGTGTCCACATAGGACATCATGTCTATGTGGTGCACAGTTACAAGTGAGCAGGCTGGGACGCCATTGAAATGAAAATGACTGGTAGTAATGTAGGTCTTCTGATGGGAGACATGAGTCCTCAAGTTGCTAAGACTAGGCTTAGCTGAGCTGACAAGACTTCAGAGGTTTAGACCTCTCTCGCCGGAGAACTAGAGTTTATTGCTCTCAATCTTAAAAACCAGAATCAAGTAGCTCTAAGAACTTAGGGTAAGACTTGCCGCTTTGGTTGCCGGTGGCCTAAATCTCTTGAGGCTCAACAGTTGGCAGCAATGAGCAATAGCTCTGATTACAGCCCTGTGCTGTTGGTACCTAGTGACAGACCTGCAGTCTCTGTACTGTCCAACTGCCATGACCATCCCCTCCACTGCCTGTTTCTCACCAGGGCTGCCCCATCTGCTTGTCCCCACTACTCAGCTGCTGCTACCACTTGTCATGGCTTATTGCTGCTGGAGCTGCCTTTCCTCTTCCTGTTACCACTTCCGCCCACTCTACCCATAGTAAACATCCCTGGGAAACATGGAAAGACCATTAGAGAAATCCTTCATTGGCCTAGTGTTGCAAGAGCAACAAAAAACAAAACAACAAAAAAGGCTTATTGCTGACTCTAGGACACCATGATTACACTGAGGGTGTGGAAATGGTTATATTTGTACTAATCACTACAAAGCTTCCAGTTACAAATCCAAGGAACCAATCACAGGTTGGCCAGTTTAGACTGCATAGAGGAATCCTCTCTTGCCAAATCTGTGTAATTCACAGACTTAACCATTTATTTATTCATTCATTAATTCAACACTTAGTCTATACTACCTTGTACCAAGTCTTCCTTCTAAGACAATTGTCCTTTCTTTTAGGACAGAGGTGCTGATAGTACCATTAGCCTGAGAACACCCCTTAAGAATTACTAAATTGATGGTATGGCTCAGTGATAAATACTTGCCTAGGGGGCACAAGATTCAAGGTTCAATCCCCAGCACCCCAAAGCAGAGTTCACCAAGGTGTGTCTTGCCTGGAGTGCTGTTTCCAAGGCTGGTACAGGTTATCTAGAACACTCATGGTGACTGAGAAAAGGCCTGTAAAAGAGGAGTCATGAACTTCGACTTCAGTTTCTCTGCAACTAGAGTGTAGTCCCCTCAAGATGTCCTTGGAGTGATCAAAGCAGCCAGGCTGTTATAATGAGTCAGTCTGGCCAGTTGCCAAAAAGACAGCAGCATTGATAGCTCAATGCCCCACCTCCTGCCTCCCCTCTCCTGGCACAAAGGAAAGTTTGACAACTGTCGATCAAAGGAATCAAATCAGCATGGTTTCTAATAGCATATTCATTTAAAGGAAAAGTAAACATTAAAGGTTGCTTACAATAAAGACCTATCGTTAACATTATTTAGTGATGTTTATCTAGTGAAAAAAATCACCTTAGGGAGAAGTAGGTCCCTATAACCCATCTGAAGACCACATTTTCTTCTTACGAAATGTTTGCCAAATGCATGGACAGGAATTGGGAGTCCAGTAAGAAAGAAAAGGGTCGGTGGAGGCAGGTGGAGGTGTTTCATTCTATGTACCACATGTGTAGGTAAAACGTGTTCTGTTTCTAAAGCAGAACTTTCTCAGTGGTACAGCACTTGTCGAGCTGCACGTGGACTCGGAGCCCAGCTACAACAGGGCAAAAGGAAAAGTCTGAGTCCCCCATCACTGCCTTCCGTTACCCCCCCACTCTCCCTGCAGTCCCTGAAAGTCGTGGGTAAGCATGAGTGAGTCCCAATTCTGTTCAGTTTGACTACAAAGTACACATTCCCACAGTTGTCAGACCTCTAATGTTAAGGATTGGCAGAATGGTGGGGTTTCAGGCTTCGTGGTGCAAAAAAACCCACAAAAATAGGTCAGATTTTTATTTTATAGTAGACCAAGACTCTTTTTTAAGAAAATAGTCCCTTTGGTGCCAGCGAGTTCCTCAGTGCGGTCCTCACACCCATGTCCAGAGGCTCACAGTGGTGTAACTCCAGCACCACGTATGAACACACACATCCACGTAAGTAAAAAGTTTTAAAAATAAAATAGTCCGTATAACAGCGGTGCTACAAATAATGTCAAGCTTTTTTCTCTCCTACCACCACCAGTACTGGGGGCTGCGCATGAACCTGAGCTTTGTCCACGTTAGACAGGCACCCCGCCTCTGAACTATATGCTTCAGCTTCCATGCATACCAGCATTCTCCCTCTTCTCCCCTCCCCCCATGAGTCTGGGGGTTGAAATGTTCAGTAGCCCATATAGGTTTTGAACTTGTGATCTTCCTGATTGGCCACCCTGATAGCTGCGATTACAAAAGGCCTTCACCACCAGGTCAGGCCTCAGCTCTCAAATGTTTGACACTGTGGGACTCTGGGTTGCTGCATTACTATCTTTGACCAGTGACATTTTCATTTGCTTGTAGTTTTAACACCAACCAATCAATAAAAACTAAACTTACAAGTCAAACAGTCTCTAAATACTACTACTCTCATCAAATTATATCAAATCTTAGATGAATTAAATGTTAAAGTATTACATAAACTAGGTCATACATAGAGACCATGAATGTGGAAAATTGCACATTTATTTCTGTCCTGTTTTTTGCTCTTGAGCTTTGTAGTTTCACAAATTCCTATAATAAAGCCTTTTATTACCAAATTATTAACCAGAACTGCATTCATGTCATTGTTCTTTCTCTTCCATGGAGCTGTTCTGCATCTGGCAGAGTTTGTCAGTTTGCTCCTCCATGCTTACATGCTGGACTTTCTTGTCACATCCCAGCAGTATCGGGTACAACAACATGTCCATCCAGGGAATGTCCCTCATGGTTTTGGAGAAAAAGCCCTCATTCTTTACCAAGCAGAACAGTCTTAAGTAATGAGTTAATTATCCATGGTAAGAAAAATCTTTCCTCCTGGTGGGTAAGTTTAATGACGAGAGATGCTTCTTGGTATTTCTACCTTTTCTACCTTAGACTAGGATATTCGGAATCTCAAGGTATCAGGTTTGTTCAGGCCTCAGGCTGCTACCGTAAATACCACAATAGCTTACTATTATAAAATAACCAAAACAACTTCTTGTCCTTCTGAAGACTCGAGGTACAAGATGATAGTGCTTGGACACTGGTGTCTGATGAGGGCCCCAGTGTCAGCTTCCTAATGCCTTGCACTGCCCTATGATGTTAAAGGGATGAGCACTCACTCCTGTGCCTCTTTTGAGATCAAACCCAGTCCACCTTCAGGATTCTAGCATTGACCTACATCCCCATTGAAACTGTTGAGTTTGTCTGGGTTTTTTAATTGAAATACAATGTTTCACAAGAATGGCATTTTCTTAACAAGGATATTTCATCTTAAGCTTTGCTTTTCACTGCTGTCTCATTCAATAGTGAGCCAAGTTATTGTAAATTCACTATCACGAAATTGTTTGAACTGTTTTAATAAACTACAAAATAGTGGATTTCGTTAAATCTTCACACGTGCATATGAGGTACTCTGTTCATAGTCATTCTCCCATTAATCTCTCTTGTTCTACCCTCTCCCCTATGTCTCCTTTTACTTTTTATATATCATATATGTATGCGTATACACATTTGAATCTAGATTCCATATATGAAAGAAAGCATTTACCTTTATGAGTCTCACTTATTTCCCTTAACTCATAAC